ATTATTATAAAACGAACTTCACAAATTTTGGATCGAGCATACTAGTGCATTTCAAACTGGCAACAGCCCCGGATCAGGAGCGCTCCAGGAGTTTGAGGAAATATTACTTAAGTGAAAGCAGGAACCTCTGAGTTTAATTCCGAAGTCCTACAAAGGTTTAACTAAAATTAGGTCCAATTTCAGTGTGTAGAAATTTTAGCTGGTCCCACTACCAAATCAAACTGATATTAGACTGATGTCTCAATGCGACGCTGTGTGATTAGTTTACATTCAAGACAACAAATCATTAAAATACGTTTCGTTGAATTTGTTTGGTAGCAGAAGGTTAATTCTGGGTCTGCAACTTGGCAAACGATCGTTCTGGAACTTTACTACTTCCGACTCTTGACCGCAGCGTCTCCAACGGTCAGACCGGATAAAATAGCTTTGTTAAGAATGTGTAAACACAAAAATTTTTTTGAACAGGATGTTTCAGAATTCGTAGCCAGGCCTTGTTTTCTTTGCCCTAAATTCCAATTTTCTTAAAAACTGCAGTGAGAGGTGGGATCATGCATGATTTCGTTACAGGGCAAAAATTTTTATTACTCCTTATCAGTGTTCTTATCAGTAGTACTCCTACCGCCAACATTTCTATCCCTTATATTTTAGTTTTATGCTGGCGTTTACAATCTTTTCATTAGGTTTTTAGCTTTCGTCAACAGTTTCTATCATTTGTGCTGCGCTTTTCTTCGAACAAATATATTAAAACTGAATTGCTGCCAGTGGAAGTATATGTTTCACGTTATCGGATTCAGTTATTTCCTCTTCATACATCATTTAAAATAAATGGCAACCGGCAATTCATTTGGAAGAAAACCCAGAGTTGCAGCATTTTCTTAACATTTGGAGAAAAAAAATTGTTTGAGAAACTGTAATGGTGGCCGCTCAATTCTAGTATGAGGGTGCAGCACTTTCATAATTCCGAACGCTAGATAGGCTAAAATAACAGTGAGGTTTACCATTACAGGTCGTTCTAAAGCCTGGTCAGGTGGATAAAGATAAGTTCGATCTTTTGGGGCTCGACTAGATTCTGATCAGGTGCCAGAAAACTGCCACCTAGACAGGTACTGTAGGAGCTTTGCCGTCCTGAAAAATGAGCGCCATTACTGTCGTGTGCTAGCAGACCGCCATGCGTCACCGTGGCACTTTCAGTTCTATTCATGAGGTATATCCCTGTCGCAGGTCCTTTTCTCATCTTTAACCCAGCTGGACATCATCAGATCCCGCCTGTCTGTTTTGACGATTCCTCACCATTTCCTCATCTACGTCTCTCCATTGAGTTACGCATCTGGATTACTTCTTTGAGTGAGAGGATATCCGCAGTTCTTTCACTTAGGATAGATTTCTTTTCCCCGAACAAATTTACGTGTTTCAAGCCTCAGCTTACTTCTCAAGTACAGTCTGAGGTTTCAAGCTCGGATGTGTGGACCCATGGTTTCTTATCCAAAACCGGGGCCGGCAGCTTATTTAAACAACCGCAGGAAAGTGGCGATGATGATCTCAGTGACAGCAACGAGAATTCCAGGAGCTGGGATTGTCAGAAATCGGGGTTTATACAGCCCATAAGTTCGGCAAAGCCCCGTTTTTAGCCGTCCGGGTAATAATTTCCAGACGCCTAGCCAAGATCTAGCCGGACCCGAAGGATCGGCCTGTTTCGTTTGACTAGGCTTTATTGTGACTTCTATCGGTCAATCTGGTCATACTTGTAGCTATCCCTGCTTTTCTTTCACAACAGTATTCACTTTCCAATCAGCTTTACTGGAAAGGGCCTAACATGCAAAGATGAAGTTTCGAACACTATTGAAGCGCATCTGTGGATAACAGTAACTTTTAACAATGGTTCAGATTCTGCAAAACCTGATTAAAAATTGCTAACTTATGCGGAAAGCAGAAGTTAATTTAGATAATGATCTGTTGAATTTTGGAGCAGTAAAAACTGTTATATTCATGTTTTTGCGAATAAAAATCATAAGGCCCAGCTAAATTCGAGGTGTGACGTTTTGCCGCATCCATTTCTGATGCAATAATTAGTGAAGTTCAAGTACTCATCAGGTTTCTGTCCACTCTTTTTCATCGCACACACTCTCACTTTTTAAGCATCCGCATTAGCTGTTCTGATCTGGATTTGACACCGTTGTTACTATGTTTTAGGTACCACATAATCGGCTTGCATCCTGATTGCAGATTTCGATAATGGACAATTATAACAGTTCATTGCAACGTTATAAAACAGGGAGGGATGATTTTGGCACATTTCCAGTATCGGCAGAACTGTTCAAGGCAAGCGTTAATCCGGACGTTTATGTTCGTGGAACACCGGCAAACTACGGAAATTACGCCACAGGCGACAGATTGCCCCGTCATCCGGAAATGCTACGCGGAGGTTGTTCACGTTTACATAATTTATTTAAAAAATTGCTGTCGTTGAGTTTTTGCAAAGATAACTGATGCAAACAAATAAACAGGCAATTCTCGTAAACAAATGCAAACAAATGGTGTCGTTAAAAATTATTGTTGCGCCTATCTATACATTTGTTTTGCATATTTAAATTTAGAAAATTATTGTTGCAGTTAAATGCAAAAAGTTGAATCTAACGCGTACTAATTTACTAATCTAATTTACACTTCTTAAGTTTTCAATGCACTATTCTGTTGACTCTCCTCTCTGATTCCTTCTATTATTTTCTAGACTAAATCTTTTTCAACTTTTTATGCGTTTTTGTTGTGCAGCGCTATAGCAGCGCTATAGCGCTGCTACAGCCAGCAAAAACTCATATTGTCAAGGGGCTGTGCGTGTGTGAGTGTGTGTGAGTGTGTGTGGGTGTGTATGTGTGTGTGTGTGCGTGTTTGTGTGCGGAAGCGAGTGCATTTTGTCACCCACTTTCATCTCAGCAACCAGGAAAGCTGGGAGGCCAAAACTT